TTTTTTTTATTTTTATAAAACCCTTCCAACCCCCTTTGCCTGCAATAAAGCATCACCACCATGATGCATTTCACCGCTGTGTCCTATTTGTCACATGTGATGTGATCACATGAAACATCCTGTTCAGTGTCTTGAACCACTGTGTAAAAATCAAGCTGTTCTTGCAGATTTTGAACGATGCTAAAGCTACCAGACAGGCTCTGAACGAGATCGAGTCACGGCATGATGAGATCATCAAGCTAGAGAAAAGCATTAAAGAGCTACATGACATGTTTCAGTACCTTGCAATGGAGGTTGAAGCACAGGTGAGGTGAACACTTGATATATTTAGTACATTCCTCAGATGTCTAGGACATTAAAAACCACAATGTTGTTCTATAATTAGGGTTGGGTATCGTTTGAATGTTATCGATTACGATTCTTATCGATTCCTAGTTTCGATTCCAATAAGATAAAAAATCCAATATAAAAAAAATTAAGTCAAACATTTAGATGTCAAACATTTATTCTGTCTTTTTACAAAGCATTCTGTTGCAGCTGAATAACACGAGCAAAAATCAGCAGCCTACAGAACACTGCAAGAGAAATTTTGCCTATGCTTTAAAAAAAAAATACTACAGCAAAAACAACTAGATTAATATAAATTTCAAATATTAAAGTGTTAAAGCCAAGTAAATAGTCAGTAATAAGATAGGAACAAACAAATCAGTTAGCAATATCATAAATAAATACAACTGAACAAAATTTCAGGTACATAGCCTGTAATTAAAAGTTTAAAACACTGCATAGTTTTCTTTTCATAAATAAAATATAGATTAATCAATTAAAGTTATTAAATATATTCAGTCAAGATCAGTGAATGATTTTCTTTTGTTCTTTGAATAACATTAATGACAGGCAGTGCATTTATTAGGCTGCTGTCACTTTAACACCGAACGCATGCAGATTTAAAAAACTGTACATGTGTGTTTTCTTTCTCATCATTTGGTCTTACGTTCACGTAAGACCAAAACGGCTGTGTTTATGATGATATACTGACATAGTTTTCTGCATATTGGTCGACAAATATGAACGAAGTCAGTTTCGGCCTGGAACAACCTTTTCTACATTGGAAATAAACGGAACGGACACAAACCCACCAACCCTACTCACCAGTCGATGTTATCAGCCTTTTGGCGGCATTCCGGCCGTCAGTCAGAAAAAAAGGCTCCAACTCCCGACATGAAAAATGACACGATGAATAATGTTAGTTTGCTGTTAACAAGTGAAAATATCTTAAAATATCGCAGTTTTGCATAAAACAGAAATAATATACTAACCTATTTGTCGAGTTAACGGTGTATTTCTCTTTTGTCCTTTTATGGCCAGATTGGCCACTTCAATCAAACAGTCAAAAAAGAAATCTCCCTTGCCATTGGTTAGTTTTTCGCGGGCAAGTTCACTACTGTAAATTGATTTACAGTAGTGAGGAAATACAGTAGTGACCATATATTTTCCCATAATCCTTTGCTGTTTACAGTAAAATACTGTATACACATTTTACAGTATCTTACTGTACATATTACAGTATAATACTGTTCAAATTACAAAAATCAGTTACAGTGTACATAACTCTGCTTAATTAATTAACAAGTATCATACTGTCCTATCTATATCTGTTCGGCATTGTTTTTTGTGGCCCGCATATGATGCCACAACTGTGGCCCAGTTATTAAAACCGTATCTGGGCCAATTTTGGGAAAGATATGGCATGGTAAGCACTGCATATGTGGCTGTGAGCCTAAAGTGGCCCGCATATGATACCACAACTGTGGCCCAGTTATACTCAAACGTATCTGGGCTAGTTTTGGCAAAGATATGACACAGTGAGCACTGGCTAATGTAGCTGTGAGCCTAAAGTGGCCTGCATATGATGTAACAAATGTGGCCCAATTATCCTCAAATGTATCTGGGCCAGTTTTGGCAAAGATATGGCACAGTAAGCACTGGCTAATGTGGCTGTGAGCCTAAAGTGGCCCGCAAATAATGATACCAATGTGGCCCAGTTATCCTAAAACATATCTGGGCCAGTTTTGGCAAAGATATGGCAATGTAGTAATTTCACAATAAATAGATCTACTCCCAGATAGCAAAATTCCTGAGGCCCAGATCAGGCCCACACCTGACACTTTCATCTGGCCCACATACCACATGGAATGATGGCAATTGGGTGGTCCGCTCCTGTTTGCCAGATTTGGGCCACAAGCAAGCCAAAAGAAGGCCCAATGTCAGCCATGGATTAACCAAATAAAGCAGAACTGGCCCAAATCTGGGCCACATTGATTTCAATTCTGGCCCAGATCCAACACCTTGCTCCGGCCCACATACTGTGAAGAATGATGGCATTTGGGCGGTCCACTCCTGTTTGCCAAATTTGGGCCACGAGCAAGCCAAAAGAAGGCCCAATGTCAGCCATGAATAAACCAAATAAAGCAGAACTG